TATATATATATATATATATATATATATATATATATATGTCACCTGGGCAGGATGTATTATCTGTCCCACATCTCCACCTTTGTGGAACAGGGCCCTTCCCAGCAGCTGGGAATAGCAGCTGGGGGCAGCTGGGAGAGAAGAAGTTCTTAGACTGAATGTTAGGCCTTGCAGTGGGGGAGCTGGGTTGAATTACTGCACAGGGGGCCCAGAGTTACTGAAATTGGCCCTGTCACATGGGCATAATTAGGCACCAAGGTTTGCAGATTTGGTCCCAAGGTCCATAATTAGAATACAGGCAATCAAGGGAGGAGGCAAAGGTACAGTGTGTAGAAAGGCTTGGCTCTCCTTAAATGAAAACCCTTTTATTTGAATGGAACAAGGAGGTTTTTGCTTTCAGAAAAAAAACTGATTTGGGAATCTTTGAGCTTTCTTTTGTATTATTCCTGTTCCATAAAGAAAGACCTAGATCAAATAATGCCTACAAAACAGATTATTTGTAAACCAGCTTGAGTACCCATTAAATCTTAAAGACTGTATTAGTCTGACTTTCAATACTTATGCACAAGTAGCTTTTCTTTTTTCCCATAGATCTTCCATATGGCCAGATGAACATGTTGGCTGCATGGTGGGCAGCAAAAAGAAGAGCTGACATACAGTTTGAAACCACACTGCAGCATCTGGGCAGGGGTTGGTCAATGGCATGCCTGATAATAGTTTTTACATTCTGGCAGGGAGAAGGATTCCCTTTCATGAGAAAATATTAGAGATGACTGGAAAGTGCACAGTGCATGATGTTAAAGCAGCAAGGCAGCCATCACTAATAGTGCAGAGCACCCAGAGCATTGGTTCAAAAGATGGTTTAGAGAACCAGTGTGGTGCAAGGCATAGGGCACTGGACTTGGCGTTAGGGGACTTGGATTTTATTTCCAGCTCTGCTACTGCCCCACTGTGTGACCTTGGGTGAGTCACATAACCTCCCCTGTGCCTCTGTTTTCCTTTCACCCTTTTTCTGTGTTGTATATTTACATCGCAAACTCTCCCAGGTAGAGATTGTGTGTCTGTAGAGCAGGGGTGGCCACCCTGTGGCTCCGGAGCAATATGCGGCTCTTCAGAAGTTAATATGCGGCTCCTTGTATAGGCACCGACTCCGGGGCTGGAGCTACAGGTGCCAACTTTCCAATGTGCCAGGAGGTGCTCACTGCTCAATCCCTGGTTCTGCCACAGGCCCTGCCCCCACTCCACTCCTTCCCACACCCTCCCCTGAGCCTGCTATGCCCTTGCTCCTCCCCCTACCTCCTCCGAGCCTCCTGCACGCCACGAAACAGCTGATTGGGTGGCGTGGGCGCTGATCGGCGGGGCTGACGGTGAGTGGGAGGCGCTGGGTGGAGCTGATGTGGGGCTGCTGATGTATTACTGAGGCTCTTTGGCAATGTACATTGGTAAATTCTGGCTCCTTCTCAGGCTCAGGTTGGCCACCCCTGCTGTAGAGTGTCTAGCAAAATGGGATCCTGATCTTGGCTGGGTCTCTTATGATACAAATACTACTAAATAATAATTAGTAGCATAGAGGAGGACTGTTGTGTCAACAGTCTACTCATGCCTCAGAGGTCAGTATATATGTTGCCTTCATAGTCTCTAATACTGGCGACATAAGGGGAACACTTTGGATTGTCACTTACAAAGACCAGGAGAATCTGTTGCAGAAGATCAGTAACACTAACAGTGGAGTGCTGAGAAATACAGTAATGGTGTCCATGGAAAAGGTAAAGAATGATAATGGGTAGCTCAAGCCTATATTCAGATTACATTTACCTCATGGAAAGTTTCTACAATAGCTGTTAGCTTGAGAAAATGGGTTGAACCATCATATAAGCATGCTTATTTTGAAGACTTTGTATTTTTGTGTTCTGCTCAATGGACAAAGTGTTTTGTGCCAAGTTATGACTCACTTTGGGTTGTTTTCTGTGTACGGACAGATCTACATCATTAAAGACAATGGAAGTTTCTCCATTGACTTGAATGGGAGGAGAATCAAGCCCTAAGTGCTGGCAATGCAAGCTAAAGGTGCTAGGTTTGAATGTAAATGTTCTCTATGACATTTTGCATATTTATTTATTTCTTCAGTTAATTGAGCTATGTTGTTCGTTTAAGGTGGATCCATTTTTCTCTGTTCCACTTTACGTGTGTGTGTGTATCCGTACATACATACATAGCCCTGTCCTCCATCCCCTATTATGGATTAATCGTGTATTTTGAGCTTGTATTAAACTCAAGTGGCAGACTACTATTTCCTCGGTACATGTAGGAGGAAGCTGTCAAGATGTTAAGACCAAGGTCTGAGCAAATTGAAAGTGGTAAGAAATGTGATAAAATATTTCTTGGCATTCTGATCACTGTAAATCACCTTCCGTCTTTGAAATTAAAAAAATAGCCATTCATTCTGTAGATGGCAACAAATGCTATTGCCCCCGTTACCCCCTGTGCAGCAATAGCCCTTAGAATGCTTCGATTCAAGTGGTAGAAGATAAGTTGTCCCCCCCACCATAGCCAAAGGGGTAGTGGGTTTAGCCCTCCTATCCTGCCGCAGACTCTCACACCCCAGTAGGGACCACCTCAAAACATTGCTGATCCCTTTCAAGGCAGGTTTTGACAGACCTAATTGAATCAGCATTAACCTCTGCTGGTTTGCACATGGAGAACAAAGAACACATATGGTGTGTGAATGGCATCCCAGCCTGATCCCTCCTACCCATATATGGGGCTCAAGACTTGTGGAAGGATTTCTACAGGATAAGGGAGTGTGCCAGGGAGACAGCACTTCCCCGTCTGTGCTCCCTGGGCCAGGATCCATAGATACAGACTCCCCTCTGCTGCTTCTAGCATTTGGCCCAATGTTTTGTTCTCAATTTGCTTGTTCTGTAGCAACAGTTTCTTAGCAAACACCATTCCCAGAGTGGTGCTGATATTAATTGATGAGTCTGGTGCTCAAAGTTGTCTTGGCATGGCAAGGCACTATCTAAGTAGAAAAATAAACAGCCAGGTTCACTCCAGCTCATTTCAAAACATGGAAAAATAAATCTATGTCTCCCATATGGAAATGAGCAAAATCAGTGGTAGAAAAATATTTTAAAACTTCTAGGAGGGTTTTGCAAACAGGGTAGGATAACAAAATATTAACAATTATAAAAATATCACTCAGTCTCCATTAAATAAGGAAATTATTCTTCCACTTCTATTACGTTATATTAAGATCAGAGAGATGATTAAGTACAGGCAGAACTTGTCATTTAGGAGCAAGAAGAGGCCATTTCAGTAATCTTACCTGCTCTTTGAGGGTTATTTTAAACATAATATCCTGCTTTTTCACCATACTCATAAACAAACTATGGAAATACAACCTAGATAGAGCTACTATAAGGTGGATACATAAATGGTTGGAAAACCATTCCCAGAGAGTACTTATCAGTGGTTCACAGTCAAGCTGGAAGGGCATATTGAATGGGATCTCGCAGGGATCAGTTCTGAGTCTGGTTCTGTTTAATATCTTCATCAATGATTTAGCTAATGGTACAGAGAGTACACTTATAAAGTTTGCAGACAATACCAAGCTGGGAGGGGTTGCAAGTTCTTTGGAGGATAGGATTAAAATTCAAAATGATCTGGACAAACTGGAGATACGGTCTGAAGTAAATAGGATGAAATTCAATAAGGCAAATACAAAGTATTCCACTTAGGAAGGAACAATCAGTTGCACACATACAAAATGGGAAGTGACTGCCTAGGAAGAAGTACTATGGAAAGGGATCTGGGGGTCACAGTGGATCACAAGCTAAATATGAGTCAACAGTATAACACTGTTGCAAAAAAAGCAATCATTCTGGGATGTATTAGCAAGAGTGTTGTAAGCAAGACATGAGAAGTAATTCTTCAGCTCTACTACGCACTGTTCAGGCCTCAACTGGAGTATTCTGGGCACTACATTTCAGGAAAGATGTGGACAAATTGGAGAAAGTCCAGAGAAGAGCAACAAAAATGATTAAAGGTCTAAAAAACATGACCTATAAGGCAGGGATCGGCAACCTTTGGCACGGGCCGGTTTGTTTACCTGCCACATCCGCAGGTCCGGCTGATTGCAGCTCCCACTGGCCACGGTTTGCCGCTCCAGGGTAATGGGGCCTCGGGGAAGTGGCGTGGGCCAAGGGATGTGCTGGCCGCGGCTTCCCGCAGCCCCCATTGGCCTGGACCGGCAAACCCTGGCCAGTGGGAGCCACGATCGGCCAAACCTGCGGACGCAGCAGGTAAACAAACCGGCCCGCCAGGGTGCTTACACTGCTGGGCCACATGCCAAAGGTTGCTGATCCCTGATATAAGGGAAGATTGAAACAATTGGGTTTATTTAGTCTGGAGAAGAGAAGACTGAGAGGGGACATGATAACAGTTTTCAAGTATGTAAAAAATTATTAGAAGGAGGAGGGAGAAAAATTGTTCTCAAACTCTGAGGATAGGACAAGAAGTTATGAGCTTACATTGATTCTATGATAGCCTCTAATTTTGTTGGTGTAAACAAGAAAAGTTTGGTATCTAAGTGCTACCTGTTGTGACTGCATTTTATAGCAGGAGCAAAACTGTGACCCTGCAATGTTGGAGGCCATCTCTGAATCTCAGGCCTTTTGTCCCTTTGTTTTGAACTAGAGCTGATTTGGAGTTTTCCACTGGAATGATTTTCCAACTGAAAAGGCAATTTCTGCAAAATCAAAATTTGGGTGGGTTTGACCTGAATCAAAATATTTTATGTTTTGAACTGACCCAAAATGTTTACATTTTGAATTGGTTCAACACAACGTTAAACTGCAGTCCCTATCATGGCACATTGTGTTACGGGACTTGTACATCCAGCTGCTATTCTCTCCTATGGTCCAGGCTCCCTGGAGGACTGTATCTACCAAAAGACAATGCCTTGATTTCCCTTTGACAGAGCTGTGTGGGGCCTTCTGGGAGTCACATGGGTGCATTATGAGAGATGTGGTCTGGCCAGTGAGCCTGGCCCAAAGGAGCAATAGAGCCCTCAGGCTCTCATGCTGCAGCTCCCGAGGCAATACACCACAATAGGAAAATGCCATTTAAGGTTGAAATGACTCCAAACAAAGCCTTTTGGGTCATTTCAACCAATCAAAACAATTGGTTGAAATGGATTTTGGGAATGTCAATCAAACATGTTGAAATGAAACATTAGGACACTTCTGAATTGACATTTTTTGGAAATTCCATTCCTCACAAAATTTGGACATTTCAACTTTTTGTCCCAATTTGGAATGAAGACAAATGTTGAAATGTCAGAATTTCCCACAGGAGAAAAATTCCAAACTTCGCTCAGCTCTATTTTGAACCACTTGGAACTGTGAAAAATGACTATTGTCTTTATCACCAATTTCCTTTACAATTTTGAAAGCTTCTGCCATGTCATTTTCAAAGACTCCTCTTTTCCCAGGAGAATAAACCCAATTCCCTTAACTGTATGTCACTGAGAAAACCAGATCATTGAAACCTGGTCATGTTTTATGTTGTAATGTACGTTATACCTTCTACAAGGCTGTCATCTGAGACCCACTGAAGTCAATAGAAAAACTCCCATTGACTTCAATAGACATTGGATTGGGTCCCAAGTCAGTATTATTATTATTATTATGGTTACTATTTGTATTACCATAGCACCTAGGAGCCCCAGTCATATAGGCCAGGACCCCACTGTACTGGGCCATGCACAAACATAGAACTAACTTACATTCTAAATACAATTCTATCTGTGCAACATGGTATAAGAACTCTTTTCATGCTCTGACAGAATGGACCATTGAACCTGATTTTGCTTTAATCATGGAAAAAAGTAACATTCCAGGTGAGAGGGTTTCTTGAGAAACTGGATTTATCCATTGTATGAGCTCATTTAAAGTAATGCCCACACATTTCCACCTGTGTTCTAGCTATACAGATAAAGAAACTCTCCCACGTTAAGATGTGGGTTTTAAGTTGTATATTATTGTCTTAAATGCACTCTTTTAGTTTCTTTTTTACTGTATAACACTAAACATGAACAGTTGGTTTCAGATTTAATTTAAAATTACCAATAAAAAGAGAGAAAAGAAAATCACATCTTGAAATACAAATACTTGAGCATGCATACAACCTTCTTGCATTTATTCTTCCCTTTCACATCTAAAGCAAAATGATTTTTGTTTAAAGACCTTGGGTTGCTGGTAAAGAGTTATCTGTGAAATCATGTATTTCACGTTCTTTTAAAGAGAATCTTTAGTGACTATGTCAGTGTTCTCAAAGCAGATTTTATGAATATTTCAAGCTTTGGTTTTCAGTTAAATTTCATGAAAATAATAATTAAAAAAAACATCACCACAGCTTTCTGCATATGCCTGCTTCAAGGATACAGTTTCTTTAAATTGTTGTCACTCTGAAAATGCTGCTTCCAGCCTTTCCACCAAATATTTCCTGTCAAATGAAGAGAAGATTAATTAGTGAGTTAAGAATAAATGTGCAAAAACAATGCATGCAAACATTTGTTCAGACTTTGAATGGGTATTTGCTACAACCATGCTTACAACCTTTGTTAGAAATGGGTTTTAGTTCATACCGAATGAATGGCTGCAGTTTGCACCGATACCTGTCAGCATGTGACGATCAATTCATAAACAAGAATATTTGCTAGGTATTTGACTGGTATTTATGAGAATCTGTGTTCAGTTTCCATCCTGGCTACAGACTTCCTGTATGATCTTGGGCAACTCACTTAGGGTCTCTGGGCTAGATCCACAAAGGGACTTAGGCACCTGTCTTCCACTTTAGATGCCGAAGTCCAAAATTTAGGACTCTCAAGCTAAGTATTCCCTTGCCTATCTTCCCACCAGCGCCCGATCTGGCAGGCTTTCTTAGAGCACGCTTAACCCGCACAAAAACAGCACTTCAGTTCCTCATCTACAAGATGGGGATAATAATATTTCCTCTGTCTTTTTAGATTGCAAGTTTTTGGGGGCAGGGACTGTCTTTTACTATAATCAAGTCAATTATTATTTATTGATTCGTTTGTGTTGCGAGAGTATTTAGGAACCCAAGGCGTGGTCCAAGACCCCATTGTGCTAATCACAAACGTAAGAAAAAATTGGTCCTTGCCCCACAGAGCTCATAGTCTAAGAACTTTTGGCAGTAAGTATGTACCATGCCTAGCCCAATGGAGCCCTGATCTCAATTGTGACCTCTAGGCACCAGTGTAATTCTAAAACTAGCATGTCATCAGTGCTTATTTTGTTTGTGGGGTGTTTAAAAATACCACTCGTCCATGTAATTCTGCTGTCCAGTCATCAACCCTGAATAACAAATAATTGTAGAGAATAGCGTATGTACAGCTGATAGGCTGAATGTTGTGAGTACAAACCATACGATGAAGACATTTGGGAAGACCTTTGGGTACTTTATTTGTAACTCCAAAACAACTCAGCTGTCATTAGGAAACCAATGAACCAAAATTGTAGTAAGTTACTAAGCACCCTTACAAAAACCTACTCACCCTCTCAGGGAAGACTTAATTTTTTTACTAACACGTAACCTGTCTTTTGTTTTTCCATTGTAACCATCATCAAGGTAAAGGGTGAGTGAGTAGAGTTGTGCCTGGAGTGATACATTTTCAGAACAGTTTTGCAATATGAAAGGCAAAAAATGGACGGAACTAACATTATGGCAATTACCCTTTGTTAAATTATCTGACTCTAATTAAAGGAGAAGCCAAGTGCTGATACTTCAGCAGAGAAAATATATTTCATACTTACCTAATCTGAGGTTAGGGACAGGCTCATTTTGCCTAGTTTCAAACGCACTTAAACACTGTTCATCAAAGTACTTAGGGTGGTATATTCAAAAAGCTACAGATTTCCCCTCCCCTTCCCAGTAATAGTATCATTGCTGATACTCCTTCAATGAGAATGTCAATATGGCTGTATGAGCTACTTTCCAAAAGGGACCTGTGGCTTTAAGAGATCTATAAGTGTCCAAACTATAGCGTTCTTCGGTTGGATTTGTGAATGCCAAGAAGTTCCTGTTCCAGCCCTTGACTGACTGGATTACAGCTCATTAGGAAGATGTTGCTCAGGATTGGAGAGAGAGGTTGTGCGTGTAGTTTGCTTTGAGTTGCTCTGCAAGGCTCAGTTCCAGTCACTGTAGAGTAACATCCATGCTGTGTTCATATTAGGAAACATCTAGATTCCAGTTTTTTTGTGCAAAATGGAGTCAGGATTGGTTGACAGTCCCACAGCATGCCGGCCAGAAGGCACTGGATGTATAATTTGCATATTCTAAATGCATTGGGCATCCACCTGCTACACTGAGAACTGAACGCAGAGAACTAGCCTACCTCATCTTAGTTCATTGTATATCTAACACAGCTGGTCTAAAACCTAGAACAATGTGAAAATGTTGACCAGCTCGAATTCTAATAATAATGAATCTGAACTTGCAAACACTTATGCGGATGCTTGCAGGATCTGGCCCTGTATTGGTTGCATATGCTTTTTATGCATAAACTGGGTCCAGGTTAGGATTTCACTAATAAAATAATTCCAGTAGCTGTGACTGGAGATGTTGTTTACTTATTGTTACATTGTGGAAAAAGAGCCCAAGATTAGTGGAGTCATAAACACAGATTATTTGGATTTTACAAGCTGGCAAAGTCCCTAGAACATAGTCCTTACAGCAGAGCCTTCTGGTCCTTGTGCTGCTCTACCACTGAATTTTTTCCAGACTGATTCCCAGTCCTTCTATTTATAAATGCCTTTTCCTCCCCTGACGTTCCCACTGGTTCCAGTCGACTGTGTTTGTCCTGTCAGGCTGAATAATAATGACTACTGTCCACTACACCTAACTTCTGGATGATTGTGTCCTATCCAGCAGAGTCTCCCTGTCAGGCTCCGGCAAGTCTGCAGGCACAAAGTCCCCCAAAACAAAGACAAGTATTATGTGTCTTCCCCACTGCTTCTTCCTTATTTACACCACTGAATGCTGCAAACCAAGCATGCAGCTGTGACTCTGGCATTTCCTGACTTTTGCGTGCTAAACTGTGCAACTTTTATGTTCTCTTAATGGAGCTATGTTTCATTACAACCATGTTCAGACACAGCGTTTTTTAATCATCTATATATTCAACAATGTTCATTTTGAATAGATAGTGCCCTTTTCCCCTGTTCCTCACAGGAACCTCGGATTTGTCTTAGAGGATTGGACCATTGGTCCACCTGGTTCAGTATCCTGCTTCCATCAGCAGTCAACACCTGATGTTTCAGTGGAAAGCAATGCTCTCCACGCTGCACCTAGCTAATTAAAATATAACACTAATTATATTTGCTTTCATGTTCTACCAGAAGCCCTGAATATGAGTGTTAATGAGACCTGTTTATTTTTCCCTGACAGAAGGCTTTGGGGCAGGAATTTTCAAGGGACCTAAGGGAGTTAGGTACTCAATTCTCATTGCCGTTCGCTAGGAGTTAGGTGCCTAACTGCCCTTTGTTCCTTGCACATCTCCCCCCTTCTTCCTCATACATGTAGGCCAGCAGAACACCAATTCTCATTACGTGGAATATGTTTGTTGAATTTGTGAGGCGTTATTTGATTGAGATATAAACTTACATGTCTGTAACTTCATAGAAAAATCAATCACATATGAATTAAAAAGAGAGCTCCCAGCAGCCATGGGTACAGATTGGCCCAGCTGGAGGGGTCTGAAGGAAGGCTAAACATGTAGCTAAGATGGAGAGTGAATGTCTTTTCACACTTTCTCAAATTAAAGGGACCAGGAGAGGGTCTTCAGATCAGTAATGAAGTCACTGAAGAAGCAAAGTGAATGGGAAAGACTCTCACAGCTGAATTCTGCATGGTACATCTGTTCATCTATATCCCTGTATCCCAGCAGCAGACAAAAGAGAGAGTTGTTTTCTAGCAAACTGACCTTCCTTAATTCAAATAAGAAAGAAAATTGGAGTAAAAGAAAAAAAATTCATAAGACAAGATTTTAAAAAATTGCTGCATGACTGCACAGTGAGACCAGATGGCTGCATGAACTGTCTCTCTCTTACACATGGGCCCATGGATAATGAAATAAGATTCACACTCATCTTCTCTATGAAAGGTCCTCTGTGTCACAGGGGGGTTTGTTACTGTGTGTTGAGTATGAAATAGATGCCCTTTGTCAGACTGATGATTAACTCACAAGCTTTTGCTGATCATTCCTCCTACATACTCTTTTGGAAATATACCCCAATTTGTCCCAAAATGGATTGCCTGGTTATGACCTTTGTTGGCTGTAAGTCTTCAAGTGCTAAACAGAGAGGCACATACAGTTTTCTGTGGGAAGAGCTCTATACAAAACTCTCTTATCCCAACCAACACTGGAGACGTTTTGGCTGTTCACCAGTTCTGTTTCGTTTGCCTTCTCTTATGGCTTGTTTCTGTTTCTAGTGCAAGGTTATCCCCAGAGTCCTAAGCAGTTCAACTTGGTCTAAAGGAAAATCAAAATGCACCATTGAAACTGGAGAATGTTTAAACCTTCCTATTTTGGAATATACATTGAAACCATTTGATAGCTTGCACTCATCTCTCCCTAATCTCAGGGGAATGTCTGAAACATAGAGACGATAATAGGATTATAAGCATTGGCTGAGCTAGTCAGCCACTACCAAATTATCTCAAATACTTTTACACGTATGGGACTCTACAGTATTTCTCTAATATGGATGGCTACTGTGTGCCATTCCTAGAAGCAACACAGCGCCTCTGGGCATGGCTTCGCATTGCTAACAAATCACTTTCCTACCCTGCAATCAGGGCCGATGAGAGGGGGGGAAGCTGGTACAAATTACTGGGGCCCGGCTTCCCCCCCCTCTCGTCGGCCCTGTTTAGCCGGTCACCCTTGCTTGGGGGCCTGAAAAAAAATTTTCACTGGGGCCCAAACCCACTCTCAGTGGCCCTGCCTGCAATGCTCATCTTGGAAGCAATACTAGCATTCTTAGCTTCTTCCAAAAGTGGGTGGCCAATGGCACAAGTAGTAGCATATTGACTTGATCCACAAACTTCTGACCACCCTGCTTTTAGAGGTGATAGATTTTTGAATATTTACAGTGAAATCCAGGCCCCGTTGAAGTCAGTGGGAGATTCGCTTTTAACTTTAATGGGGCCAGGATTTCACCCTTACTCTTTTCACATGCATTATATTCAGCACCAGTCCTGTTGGACCCGGGAATGCTTTGTTTTGGAGGAGATTGAGTGTAGGAGCTTGCTTTATTTGTGTTCTCTTTCCCATAAAATATCCTCTGGTGCAAAATTTAAATTCTCTGATTAAGGGAAAACCAGGTTAACAGAGGAAGTGGACACATAATGCCCTAATGGAAGTTTGCAGCTCAATTTAACAATCGCTCCCAGGCTAGAGAGTCTAGCAATTTGAGACCCCAGGC